AAATTCAATACTCAGAATTGTGCAACTAGTATGGTATCGGCGGCAGTTAAGGTCAATCCCGGTGCAAGTTCGACTTGTACTGGTACAGCTTGTACTTGCTGTTCTTGCTGTTGCTGTTAAATAAGCAACATAAACAGTTGTCTGTTAATTCTTTTTCAGCTTTTCTGTGATACGGGCGGCTGTTGATCCGTTTGGGAGTCCGGGTGTTGCTCTGCAAGACGGCCGAGTAATCGTTCGTTCGGCTGCTCGGTCGTTTTGTCTTGTATGACGGGCGTGCCGCCAGTCTGTGGTGGGTGTATCCACAAAGGGCACAGGCGGAATTGACGGGGTGGGCGTAGACAGAATAGATGGCTATCTCAAAGCTAACTGGATAGAAATCTGCGAGCAAAAAAGTTTTTTGACAACGTTTCATAGGACAAGTCCATAACGCCGGTGGAAAAACTTGTACAGGACCCTAACACAGAGCTTACAGCGAGGGGGCTGCGATTTGTGAGGTAAGCAAATGACTGTGTCATTGCAGCGGGCGGCTATGCAGCAGCAAATAGGGGGCGTACTATCAAGCTAGTGGCTAAAACATGATATAAACAAAGAAATCCCCGCAAAACGAGGACTTCTCAGTTGTGTAGATTATTATTTGAATTGATGTGCTGTATGCCGAGTGGCACGTACGTTGGTGTGAAAGGGGCTAGTTGTCAGCCCCTGTTCGATCATCCAAAGATGTGAATTACAAAATAACGTGATGTTAAAAGTTGTACCGAGTACCTCCGACTATCTGGTTGTAGAAGAAAATACACAAGTTGAATGATATGTGAATTGCCAGGCAGAAGAAGATATTCTGAGTGCATACGTAGCACAGAGATAGGATGATACCGAGAGGTATTTTTGTCAGAGCCTTCTCACGCTGTGAGTAGAAATGAGAACATACAAACAGAGCTGTCGATGCCACCACAAATAGAATGGGATCCCCATATGAGCGTACAAACAAATCGTAGAGGAAAAAACGATATACGTACTCTTCGAAAAAGGGAAACGCTATTAGCACAACAAAAGAATTCTGCATTTGGTGATATATGGCTCTGGCTGATGATCTGAAAAACTTTAAGCCATAGGCGGATAAAACCTCACAGGCAAAAGCAAGAATTAAAATCGCCGGGCCAAGATAGTACAAGACCATTGCGTGATGACTAACCGCGACGTCGTATCCTACCATCGCCAAAGCACAGAGGAGAAATAAATTCCTTTCTGAACAATTTCTCATAATGGGAAGTCTACCCAGCAAAAGAGAGAGAATCCCCGGGAATATGGTAAGGATGCAGACAATATTATGCCAAAGGGTGAGGAACATGATTAACAATACCTCCGTTAGACAAAAACCTGGGATGATGTTCGGGAGGATAGGAAGGCAAACTTAGCGGGAGGAGCTCCGGAATACACACACGTGCAACCTCCAAGTTAAGACCCTCAAATTCGGGCGCTGTTATTACCAGATAACCCGAACGAGGATAATTTTTCTTGACATAGGACAACGCCGAATCTTTTACTTCCCCTGGTACAAAGTTTGGCGCCCCGAACTCTAGGTTTGGTTTTCCGTATTTTGCATACTTGATAACATTTTCATCAAAGTTTTTGATGTTTTTGACATCTTTCTCAACCGACAACCATTTGTCGTAATTTATCCACGGAAGGTTCATGTTATATTCGAGAACACACAAAGCTTCCATAAGGCAACGGTAAAGAGTTTTCTCGCGATCATAACCGCCCTGTACTCCCACGGTATATCTGGGAAGATCGCGTTTCTTGCCATAAATTTCGCAAACATATATGTAGATATTTTTATCAAAAGTAATATCTGTGAAAGACAATGAAAAGTCGTGGAGAAACTGGTCGATGCTATCCACATCGAAGTGGTTACGCAAAAAACTTCGTTGATCAAGATCAACCGGCGTACCTTGCAATCCGCCGTACCACCACAGCTCAAAAGAATCGATTTGCAGACATTCAATAAGAGCAGTATCTATTGCTTGTAAAACAGTTTCATGACAAGCGGTGCCCGTAGAAACGGGCGATGGAACATAGGTCTTTTCCTCCGGATAAATATTGGTTCCACCGGAAACTACCAACTGTAGTGGCGCAAAGAAAGGCTTAGCGGGATCCGCAAATGAGTGCATACGGATCCATAAGATCTCATCAGTTTTATTTACAAAATTTGGCTCACTATGCTGGCAGTAAGCATTAATGCAATTAAGTGGGGTAACGCTCTCAGATCCAAATTCATCAACGAGACTCTGATATGACTTGCGGCTCAGACGACTCTGGACAAATTGAGATAAAACCGCAAATGAATAACGCTCGGCAGAT